TCCAGTTGAACATTCCCAGAATTCCCGTTTTCCAGGGGAACATTCCCGGAATTCCCGCTGTTTCCCGCAGGTCCCAGCGGCTGCAGTTCGACGTCTCCTCTCCCAACGGGATCCTGCTCTTCCGGGAGACCAGCAAGATGATCACCACCTACGGTGAGGGGCCGGAAATCCCGGGAACCCCAGAAATCCGGGATTCCTCCCGGGGACGCCTCTGGAATCGTCCTGGAAATGGCCTGGGAAAATCCTGGATTCATCCATGGATAAATCCGGGATTCCTCCCGGGGACACCTCTGGAATCGTCCTGGAAATGGCCTGGGAAAATCCTGGAAACGTCCTGGAAACGTCCTGGGTTCATCCATGGATCAATCCTGGATTCATCCAGGAAAAATCATGGATTCATCCATGGATCAATCCTGGATTCCTCCTGGGGGCACCTGTGGAATCGTCCTGGAAATGGCCTGGGGTCATTCATGGAGTCATTCTGGGAAAATCCTGGAAAAATCATGGATTCATCCTGGATTCATCCTGGGTTCATCCATGGATTTATCCTGGAAAAGTCCTGGAAATGTCCTGGGGGCATCCATAGATTCATCCAGGAAAAATCATGGATTCATCCATGGAAACATCCTGGATTCATCCATGGATCAATCCTGGATCCCTCCTGGGAGCATCCGTGGATTTATCCTGGAAAAGTCCTGGGAACATCCTGGATTCATCCATGGATTTATCCTGGAAAAGTCCTGGAAACGTCCTGGGTTCATCCATGGATTTATCCTGGAAAAGTCCTGGGAACATCCTGGATTTATCCATGGAAAAATCCTGGATTCATCCATGGAAACATCCTGGATTCATCCTGGGCTCATCCATGGATTCATCCTGAAAACATCCTGGGAAAATCCTGGATTCATCCATGGATTTATCCTGGAAAAATAATGGATTCATCCTGGATTCACCCGTGGATTTGAAATCCCATCCCAGTTCCCAGATTTGGGGCTGGGATGGATTTGAAATCTCATCCAGTTTGGAATTTACAGGATCATGGAATGCTTTGGGTTGGAAATGAACCATGTAAATAATTCCCAGATTTTGGGTGGGAATGGATTTGGAATCCAAGGGATCAGGGAATGGTTTGGGTTGGAAATGAACCATGTAAATAATTCCCAGATTTTAGGTGGGAATGGATTTGGAATCCAAGGGATCAGGGAATGGTTTGGGCTGGGATGGATTTGAAATCCCACCTGGTGTGGAATTTATGGGATCATGGAATGGTTTGGGTTGGAAAGGAATGACATAAATAGTTCCCAGATTTTGGGCTGGGATGGATTTGAATTCCCATTCCAGTTCCCAGATTTTAGGTTGGGATGGATTTGAAATCCCATCCAGTTTGGAACTCNTAATTCCCAGATTTTGGGCTGGGATGGATTTGAATTCCCATTCCAGTTCCCAGATTTTAGGTTGGGATGGATTTGAAATCCCATCCAGTTTGGAATTCAGGGGATCATGGAATGGTTTGGGTTGGAAAAGAATGACATAAATAATTCCCAGATTTTGGGTTAGAATGAATTTGGAATCCTATCCAGTTTGGAATCCAAGGGATCAGGGAATGGTTTGGGATTTGGAATCTCATTCCAAAATCCCGATTTCGGGTTAGGATGGATTTGAATTCTAATCCAGTTTGGAATCCAAGGGATCAGGGAATGGTTTTGGTTGGAAATGAACCACGTAAATAATTCCCAGATTTTGGGTTGGGATGGATTTGAATTCTCATTCCAGTTCCCAGATTTTAGGTTGGGATGGATTTGAAATCTCATCCAGTTTGGAATTCAGGGGATCATGGAATGGTTTGGCCTGGAAAGGAATGACATAAATAATTCCCAGATTTTGGGTTAGAATGGATTTGAATTCCCATTCCAGTTCCCAGATTTTGGGTTAGAATGGATTTGAATTCTAATCCAGTTTGGAATCCAAGGGATCAGGGAATGGTTTGGGTTGGAAATGAACCACGTAAATAATTCCCAGATTTTGGGTTGGAATGGATTTGAAATCCCATCCAATTTGGAATCCAAGGGTTCAGGGAATGGTTTGGGTTGGAAATGGACCATGTACATAATTCCCAGATTTTGGGTTGGAATGGATTTGAAAGCCAATTCCAATATCCTGAATTTGGGTTGGGATGGATTTGAATTCCCTTCCAACATCCCGATTTTAGCTTGGAATGGATTTTAATTCCCATTGAGTTTGGAATCCAAGGGATCTGGGAATGGTTTGGCTTGGAAAGGATTTGGAATCCAGTCCAGTTTGGAATCCAAGGGATCTGGGAATGGCTTGGGCATGGGATGGATTTGAGATCCCATCCACTTTGGAATTTGTAGGATCATGGAATGGTTTAGGTTGGAATGGATTTGAAATTCCATCCCAATATCCTGATTTTGGGTTGGGATGGATTTGAAATCCAATCCAGTTTGGAATTCATTGGATCAGGGAATGATTTGGGCTGGGATGGATTTGGAATCCCATCCCAACATCCCAATTTCAGGTTGGGCAGGATTTGAAATCCCATCGAGTTTGGAATCCAAGGGTTCATGGAATGGTTTGGGTTGGAAATGGACCATGTACATAATTCCCAGATTTTGGGTTGGAATGGATTTGAAAGCCAATTCGAATTTGGAATCCAAGGGTTCATGGAATGGTTTGGGTTGGAAATGGACCATGTACATAATTCCCAGATTTTGGGTTGGAATGGATTTGAAAGCCAATTCCAATTTGGAATCCAAGGGTTCATGGAATGGTTTGGGTTGGAAGTGGACCATGTACATAATTCCCAGATTTTGGGTTGGAATGGATTTGAAAGCCAATTCCAATATCCTGATTTCAGGGTTGGGATGGATTTGAATTCCCTGTCCAATATCCCAATTTGGGGTTGGAATGGATTGGAAATCTCGATCCAACATCCCGATTTTGGGTTGGGATGGATTTGAAATCCCTTTCCAATTTGGAATCCAAGGGATCAGGGAATGCTTTGGGCTGGGATGGATTTGGAATCCCATTCCAACATCCCGATGTCGGGTTGGGATGGATTTGGGATGTCCATGGTGATCCCAAGGAACCATTCCCGCAGGGAATCGCATCCTGACGCTGGGCGAGGTGCCCAAGGAGCAGGTGCACACTGAGGCTGCAGGGCTGGGATGGGTTGGGAATGCCATCCCAGATCCCAGATTTCAGGTTGGGATGGGTTGGGAATCTGATCTAGTTTGGAATTTATGGGATGATGGAATGGTTTGTGTTGGAGTGGATTTGAGATCCCATCCAGAGTGGAATTCATTGGATGATTGAATGATTTGGGCTGGAATGGAATTGAAATCCCATCCCAGTTCCCAGATTTCGGGTGGGAATGGATTTGAAATCTCATTGCACCATCCCGATTTTGGGTTGGGATGGATTTCGGGACATCCATGGTGATCCCAAGGAACCATTCCCGCAGGGAATTGCATCCTGACGCTGGGCGAGGTGCCCAAGGAGCAGGTGCACACGCTGAGGTTGAAGGGCTGGGTTGGGTTGGGAATCCCATCCCAGATCCCAGATTTTGGGTTGGGATGGGTTGGGAATCCCATCCCAGATCCCAGATTTTGGGATGTCCATGGTGATCCCAAGGAACCATTCCCACAGGGAATCGCATCCTGACGCTGGGCAAGGTGCCCAAGGAGCAGGTGTACGCGCTGAAGCTGAAGGGCTGGGTTGGGTTGGGAATCCCATCCCAGATCCCAGATTTTGGGTTGGGATGGGTTGGGAATCCCATCCCAGATCCCAGATTCCCGGTCGGGATGGCTTTGACAGCCGGGGTGGGATGTCCATGGTGATCCCAAGGAACCATTCCCGCAGGGAATCGCATCCTGACGCTGGGCGAGGTGCCCAAGGAGCAGGTGTATGCGCTGAAGCTGAAGGGCTGGGATGGGTTGGGAATCCCATTGAGTTTGATCCAAGGGATCAGGGGATGGATTGGGTTGTTGGATTTGGGATGTCCATGGTCATTCCGGGCCGGAATTCCCACAGGGAATCGCATCCTGACGCTGGGCGAGGTGCCCAAGGAGCAGGTGTACGCGCTGAAGCTGAAGGGCATCTCCATCTGCTTCTCCATGCTGAAGGCGGCGCTGAGCGGCAGCTACGTCAACTTCGGCGTGTTCCGCCTGTACGGCGACGACGCGCTGGACAACGCGCTGCAGACCTTCGTCAAGCTGCTGCTCTCCATCCCGCACAGCGACCTGCTGGTCAGCCACCGCGGGCACGGCCGGGCGGGCACGGGGGTGGGCACGGGCACCGGGATGGGCACGGGGATGGAGATGGGCAGGGGGATGGAGATGGGGATGGAGATGGGCACGGGGATGGAGATGGGGATGGGCATGGAGATCGGCATGGGATGGGCATGGGGATGGACACGGGGATGGAGATGGGAAGGGGGATGGAGATGGGCACGGGGATGGAGATGGGCACGGGGATGGAGATGGGAAGGGGGATGGAGATGGGGATGGAGATGGGCACGGGGATGGAGATGGGCACGGGGATGGAGATGGGAAGGGGGATGGAGATGGGGATGGAGATGGAGATGGAGATGGGCACGGAGATGGGCACAGGGATGGGGATGGGGATGGGGATGGAGATGGGGATGGAGATGGGCACGGAGATGGGCACAGGGATGGGGATGGGGATGGGGATGGAGATGGAGATGGGCACGGAGATGGGCACGGGGATGGGGATGGGGATGGGGATGGAGATGGGGATGGAGATGGGCACGGGGATGAAGATGGAGATGGAGATGGGCATGGGGATGGAGATGGGGATGGGCACGGGGATGGAGATGGGGTGGAGATGGGGGTGGAGATGGGCACGGGGATGGAGATGGGCATGGGGATGGAGATGGGCACGGGGATGGAGATGGGGATGGAGATGGGCATGAGGATGGTGGGCATGGGGATGGTGGTCACCAGGATCCCGTGTCCTGGGAATGCCAGGCACTGGGAATGATGGGCATGGGAATGGTGGACACTGGGAATGATGGGCATGGGAATGGTGGACACTGGGAATTCCAGCCCTGGGAATTCTGTGACCTGGGAATGGCGGGCACTGGGAGTTCCAACCCCTGGGAGTTCCATATCCTGGGAGTGCCAGCCCTTTGGAATTCCAGCCCTTTGGAATTCCAGCCCTGGGAATGCCAGGCACTGGGAATGATGGGCACTGGGAATGATGGGAACAGGAATGATGGGCACTGGGAATTCTGTGTCCTTGGGAGTTCCATGTCCTGGGAATTCCGGCCCCTGGGAATTCTGTGTCCTGGGAATGCCAGGCACTGGGAGTTCCAGCCCCTAGGAGTGCCAGCCCTTGGGAATTCCAGCCCCTGGGAATGCCGGGCACTGGGAATGATGGACACTGGGAATTCCGTGTCCTGGGAGTTCCGTCCCCCATCCTTCGGGAATTCCTGGCTGGATTCCAGAATATCCTGGCTGGATTTTGAGAATATCCTGGTTACATTTGGGAATTCCTGGCTGGATTTGGGAATATCCTGGTTACATTTGGGCATATCCTGGTTACATTTGGGAATATCCTGGTTACATTTGGGAATATCCTGGCTGGATTTGGGTATATCCTGGCTGGATTTGGGAATATCCTGGCTGGATTTGGGAATATCCTGGCTGGATTCAGGAATATCCTGCTTACATTTGGGAATATCCTGGTTACATTTGGGAATTCCCGTCCGGGTTTGGGATTTTCCCCTTCCAGGGAAATCCCCGAGCCTCCTTTTCCCTGCGTTCCCGCAGGATTATCCCAAGCTGAGCCAATCCTACTATTCCCTGCTGGAAGTGCTGACCCAGGACCACATGAACTTCATCGCCAGCCTGGAGCCGCACGTCATCATGTACATCCTGTCCTCCATCTCCGAGGGGCTCACGGCGCTCGGTAACCGGAATTCGGGAATTCCGGGGTGGGGGGAGCTGGGAAACCCCTGGTCCATAAGGGGTTAAAATCCCCCTGTTCCACAAAGGGTTAAAATCTCCCTGTTCCATAAGGGGTTAAAATCCCCCTGTTCCACAAAGGGTTAAAATCCCCCTGGTCCATAAGGGGTTAAAATCCCAATTGTCCACAAGGGGTTAAAATCTCGCTGTTCCACAAAGGGTTAAAATCCCCCTGTTCCACAAAGGGTTAAAATCTCCCTGTTCCACAAAGGGTTAAAATCCCCCTGTTCCACAAGGGGTTAAAATCCCACTGTTCCATAAGGGGTTAAATCCCAATTGTCCACAAAGGGTTAAAATCCCCCTGTTCCACAAAGGGTTAAAATCTCCCTGTTCCACAAGGGGTTAAATCCCAATTGTCCACAAAGGGTTAAATCCCAATTTTCCACAAGGGGTTAAAATCTCCCTGTTCCACAAAGGGTTAAAATCCTCCTGTTCCATAAGGGGTTAAATCCCAATTTTCCACAAGGGGTTAAATTTAAATCCCCATTTTCCACAAGGGGTTAAATCCCTCTGTTCCACAAAGGGTTAAAACCCCCGGGTTTTTTTTCCCCTTTTCCCCGTTTTTTTTCCCGTTTCCCCATTTTTTCCCGTTTTCCCCCATTTCCCCCGTTTTCCCCATTTCCCCGTTTCCCGTTTTCCCCATTTCCCCGTTTCCCGTTTTTCCCGTTTCCCCCATTTCCCCATTCCCCATTCCCC